GGTTTAAAAGTGATAGGCTATTACACTTACTTTGCTCGGCAAATTTCTACAACAGAATTAAAAAAGGTCTTCCTGAGAACTGTCGATGATTCTCAGCAGTTACTGGATCCTGTAACCTGTGCAGCCACGTGGGGTCTTTTACTGCATATTCCAGGATTACTCACTGGAATACAAAGAGAAGACTCAAGAATGGCCTCTGAATGGTATACATGCAAACATCACACCAAACACATTAGCAGAAGTTAATACAGAGACGGGTGAATTGCACAGCAGTTTTACAAAATACAACTACTATAGATTATGTTACTCAAGCATAACCTTGGTTGCCAATAATTAACTGGCATGCATTGCTTTAAAGTCAGATTGTCCCCCATACTACTAACAGTCAAATTAATGACCTACATAACTGAGATAGACAGATCTTTCCAGTGACTTTTGAGTTACCTTCCTAGTTACAATGACTTGGTCCTCTGCTAACTATGCTTACCATTCTCTTATGATTGCCTGTATTAAATTTACTAGCAATAAAGGCAATCCATTCTCCTACGGCCTCTATTACGGCCACTGTTTTAATCTTTAAAACCTTAGAAAATGGGAGGTGTAAAGTCACTAGTCTTGTATGCACAAAGAAGCACTGAGAGAACCAAGAATGTTAATCGTACAGGGTGTCTTGTCAACAGAGGAGAGGAAATCAAATACCTCCAGAAATCTGAGAGTGCATTTTGGTAATGACCTAGTGAATATTTTGCTATCTGTAGCAACATACCTCACCCTAATTCCCCAGGATTCCAGACTGTTTCCTCCGATACCATCACCCATTTAAGGGAGATACCACATGCCCTCTATGACCTGCTGACCTCTATGCTATGTTGTACAGGGACCACATTCGATTCTAGGTCTGAGATAGAACCCAACCTCATGTTTGCATGTGCTGTGCAAAACATTTTCTCTGTAGTCATATGTTAACCTTTATTGTTTACTGGAATTCAAATGACTATGGGAATAACCATTAGCTGGAGACCCTTTTCCAAATACTATACATACCTACAATAAACTGCCTGATATTAGACTCACTAAGATTGGCATAATCGACCTGCACTGGGTTTTCATTCTCATCTCTTCCTGTGTTCGATTCCTTGTTTGACACCTGCATGCATTGATATAGGACTACTCCAGCATTGGCAACTATGGCAGTAACAGCAGTAGTTCTCAACACAGGGCAATAAATCATCAAACCATTCTTTTAGTCCTTTTCTTCGTTTGACCCAAAATATGATGATGGAGAAACATTGAGAAAGACTCCTCCCTGTTCTGATCCATCTGTCCAGGCATCAAACACCAATCTGAACTCAAAGTACATAGAAGCTCGGGAACTCAAAGTTATAGGAGTACTAGCACTTAAAAATGTATACAAAGAAAAACTGGAACAATCCTTAAGATCGTTTCAAAGTAGTTTCCCAAGCAAAAACAAATACAAAAGATGAACACAGGCCATAATAGTATGACTACACTTTTTTGTTTTATACAAGAGGATATAGTCTCATTGTTAGGAGTATTGTTTCCATATAATTCCATTTCGAACCTAAATGTTATCCAATGCTGATAATATTTGACAGATTCTCTTGAGTAGCTGCTCCCTCTATATGAGGAGAGGAAAGGAACTTCTCAGCCCCATACTAATCCCTCAGGCTCATTACTGTGGATGGTGATGGCATCATTATTATTATTACAAAACCGCATCTTAATTCTTTGCTTTCCCATCTCGTGTGAGCAGAAGCTACACGGCTCTAATCTGTGACACAGCCACAGGGAATATTAATAAGACCTTGGAACTCTGGTCCTCTACGTTGTTCCCAATGATCTATTCACTTAATGCTGAGACAAAAGGAGTGTCGCCAGGGGGAAAGTGAGGTGGAATGAAAAGATTGTTAGTCATATTCCCTTTAAACCCTTTAGCTACTGATGTGAATACGTTCTTCTCATTTCATTTGTTGTTACATTATGAATAACAGACAACTATCCCCTAGATGTTTCACACAATGAACTTCATGTTCAATACAGCAAGGAAGGGCTTCCATCCCTATATCATGAGATGAGATAAAATTTAAAAGCTCTTGGGAAACAAAGGATCTCTACTGTCATAGGGTCCTGGAATCCAATTTGAGTCATTAGTATAAACTGGAATACTGAGATCCCATCAATGCACTACTGGGGTCAAGGGAGGGTTAAGAATATAAGCCCAGCAAGAAAAAAACCTTTGCATTACTTACTTGAACAATAGTGATTGCTAACAGGGCCAAGAGCAAGATCCCAGGTGTTTTATTTCACCCACATAACAAACCATCTGTTCACTGTGGAAGGGAATGCTTTGCTCATTGTTTTGAGAGTCTGACCCACAGTCAGATGAGCTATGTGTTCAGGTGGCAAGTTAAGCTGTGCTCACTTGCTCGTCTCTCAATTTCAGCAGTCTTTCTAAACTCTAACCATCACATGTACCTGTGCAAACATAAACACACCCTTTCCCCCATTTATAACATTTCTTTTTTCCACTGTAAAGATTCTCCCCCTTTATTTACCTTTTTTACGTTTAATGAGAAGAATAAAATCAGTAAACTATGCCAGCCAGTATCATCTGCACCTTAAGGGAACCAGTGGTTGGGTCAACTGGTAGCAAGAGGCAAAAGAAAATCTTTACTTGTTTCTTTGAGATCTACTCTGGCAAACAGGTCTGTGATGATGCCTAGAACTCTGGGTTCTCCAGCATGAATACCCCTTGAGGCACAGACAACTGGAACCCTAGGCCTTGGGTTTCCCGGGGTCTCTTGCCCAGCCTGCACCTCTCTCGCTTTAACACCAGTGCTAGTAGTTCAGGAGGGATGACTGACAGGCAGCAACTATCGCAGATGAGACACACCTGAGAACTGGGGTCAGGGACAGCATCGACAATTCACAGCGCCCACCACAACCCACAGAGGCTTCGCATGACTGCCACTGTGACCCCTGGGGCCTCCAAATGAGTGCTCTCTCAAGATGGCCTCTAGGGGCCCAGTGGTGCCCGGCAACAGGGTATATATCAAATTGAGTACCCTCAATATTTTCTCCAATAATAGACCGATAAAGAATTTCAGCAGACCTAAGATGATCATCATTACAATTCAAAGAAGTTAAAGTAAATAATGAGTAGACTAGGATTTTCACAGAATTAAGCACTGCCTTACACCCTTTTAGTTTAATTAACATGGTTTAATGATCTGTTAGATCTTTCAATGGTGGCCTGTCCTCTGAGGACTATAAGGGACATCAGTAATGTGTTTAATATTTCAATGTTGTAAACACTCTTGAAATTTTAATGATATATAAACTGGATCATTATCCACCTAATTTGCCGTAGACCATTCACTCATGATATTAAAAGTTTTTTAATGTAATATAACTGATGAAGCCTTTTATAGTACTTGATAAAGTAGCCCATTGAAATATTGAAAATAGCTAAACCCAATGATGCATGTATCACAACCTATCAAAAACATTTTTTTTAAGACAGTAAGGTTACTCTGTGTAGCTCTGGCTGTACTGGAACTCATGTAGTAGACCACACTGGTCTTGAACTCAGAAATACACTGTGCCTGCCTCCCTAGTGGAAGGATTAAAGGTTTGGGTCACCACTGTTGGGGAAGTCCTGTGTATATGTCAATAAATTACTGCTGGCCAATAGGAATCTAGATGGGAGGGACTAGGAGTCCAGAACTCTGGGAAAGAGAAACACAAGAGAGTCGAGATGTAACCGCCATTGGGGTAGGAAGCTCGGAAACCTCTCCGGTAAGAGACATACTTAGATTAACAATTATGGGGTAAATACTTAAGTCAGAGCTAGCCATTAAGAAAAAAGCAAGGCCAACAGCTTCATAATTAATACAACGTCTTGTGTGTTTATTTGGGGACTAGAATGTGGCAGAGCCCAGGCGGCTGGCGGGGGATAAACCAAAGCGGCTAGCAAAGAAAAAGATTCTCTTAACACACCACCACCACCAAGCTACCAAAACATTTTCATTTGATACATTACCTTGGGGGTAATGAAGGCCTTTGAAAAGTTTGACTAGTTTCACAATGTGATATTATTAATTTTGCCATTTTCTGAGTTAAAGGAAATTTTCTTTTAAAGGCACTCCATTAAGCATGTGATTCTGTATGAAACTTAATAGCTTTAGGTAAAATGGTACCATAATGTAATGGATATGTATTGATTACAGAACCTATGAATTGATTGACCTTCGCAGTAGTAGGACTGGAAGATTAAGTGCTATGATAAGTCATAAAATGCCACCTTCTGCTAAGTATACAGCAATAACTTCATAGATGTAGGCAGGGTGCAGGGTATGGGGCCAGGGGCTACAGGCTCAACCCACAGCTGGGAGTGGCTGAGGTCTTGAAGGGGATATGGGAAGAAAGACTCTGGAGGGCAGGCACAGTGGGGAGAGAGGGGGGAAATCATCAAGTTAGATGGAGCCAGTGCTGGAAGGGGAGAGGGAGGTCATGGTGGGCAGGGCCACAGCACAGGAAGAGGCAGCAGCAGACAGGGCAGGAACTGGGGAGAACCAGAGCAAGAGAGGTAAAGTTAGACTACTGGGCTTGGCTTCTTACTTGAGGTGAAGTAAGACTACTGGGCTTGGCTTGTACTTGACATTTGGGGTGAAGTCTCTGTGAGAGCCAGACCTACCTAGAAATGCAAGAGCTTCACACAGGCTCTAGGGTGCATCCACAGCATCCCTGTCATACCACCTTCCTATTAACCTACACACATGACTTCTCCATACATGCACACACAACACACACACAACGTCAGCCATGCTGACACAGGCATCATGGATGCCCCAAACATGTAAACGTACACACAGGCTACTCCCCACAAACACATATTTCTCACAGAACACACTCACATGTTTCTCAAAATGTATAGTTAGATCAGGGAGATGGGTCAGCACGATACCAACACCACTGACCTGAGTTTGCATCCCACGTGAGAAGAACCGAGTCTCAAGTTGCCCTCTCACTGCCACTCATGCACTGGGCATGCGCGCTCCACAGATGGAATGTTTGGTCAGAAACATCAGTCTATCACTCTTTGCCTCACAAGATTTCAAGACATGCACAGATACAGAGAAGTAATATGACAAAATAGTAATCACTATTTGGATCAGGATAGCCTTGAACTCTGCCTCTGCCTCAAAAATACTAGGTGTGAGGTGACATGCTCAACTAATTAAATGTTCTGATCAAATGAAAGCATAATAGAGAGATGTATGGCAATTTCCTGAAGAATGGAAAAAAATAAAAATAAAAATGTCAGAGTAATTTTAAAATCTTTTAAACTGTTACAAATAGAAAACCTAATCACCACTTGGACTCCTACACCTGACTTCCAAGACAGGGAAGCTGAGGACACAGCAGGAGTGTTTGACAAAGACATGGACCAGCCAGAGGACTCAGGCTCTGAGGATGAGCTGGAGGGCAAGGGGTCAGTTAAATGAAAGCAGAGACTAAGGGGGAGTTCAACCATTATGAACTTGGCATGAAACATGGAAAAATTTGAAGTTAGAAAAAAAGGGAATATTCATAAAAGACACAACTTCTTTTTACTTAGCTGCAGTCTCCATGGCGTTGGGGAATTTACATCAAGATGGAATTATCTACAGAAACCTGAAATTGGAGAACATCATGCTTAATCAACAAGGGCATGTGAAACTAACAGACTTTGGACTATGCAAAGAATCTATTCATGATGGAACAGTCACATGCACATTTTGTGGAACAATAGGATACATGGCCCCTGAAATCTTGATGAGAAGAGACCACAAATGTGCTGTGGATGGATGCAGTTTGGGAGTCTTAATGTACAACATGCTGACTGGAGCACCTCCACTCACTGGAGAGAACAGAAAGAAAACAATTGACAAAATCCTCAAATGTAAACTTAATTTGCCTCCCTAACTCACACAAGAAGCTCGAGATCTGCTTAAAAAGAAATGCTGCTTCTCTATTGGAGCTGGTCCTGGGGCTGCTGGAAAAGTCCCAGGGCATCCATTTTCAGACACAGTAACTGGGAAGAACTAGCTCAGGAGGTGGAGCCTCCCTTTAAGCCTCTGTTACAACCTGAAGAGGATGTGAGTCAGTTTGGTTCAATGTTTACAGGTCAGACACCTGCTGACAGCCCAATGACTCAACTCTCAGTGAAAGTGCCAACCAGGTCTTTCTGGGTTGTACACAGGTGGCTCCATCTGTACTTGAAAGTGTGAAAGGAAAGTTTTCCTTTGAACCGGAAACCTGATCACCTCTCAGATTTATTCATAGCCCACGAATGTCTATCAGGCCTGTCAGATTCTCTCCTGGAGATTCCTGGGGATGAGGTGCTTCAGCCAGCATGGCAAATGCTCAGACACTGTGGAATACCCAATGGAAACAGTGGGATAGAGCACACGGATGTGACAATGACTGAGAAGCATCAGCACCACTTCCTGTCCAACAGCTGAACTCTGAGCCATACAAAAACATGCTTTTCCTATGATCTCCACAGGGCCAAAGCATCTGCATATTAACCTATGACAAAAGAATTCTTTCACTGATGCAAACAGAAACAAAAAAGGGAGAGGAGATGTGAGAATCAAAATGGCAGTCTTAGAGAGTCAGTAACATTACCTAGACTGCTTTGGATGGAGGAAAAAATAAATATGGATTTAAAAAAAAAGATCAATCAACGGTGCAAAAAAAAACCAAATCCACCAAAAAAACTCAAGCACAACAGTATTGTGGAACCCACAGACATATCGATTGACTGGTTCCCAACTAGTGACATCTCAGTATTAGCAACAGTTTTCATGTTGAAGGCATGTATTAAGACAGTTTTAAGGATAAGATGTTGTTTCTGAATGACCATTGAAGCCTGACGATATCAGGGTTATCCTTTCATAGGCAAAGTATGAGATTGCTGCATTACTTGCAAGTAAGGACGGATTAGCATGGAAGCTTTTTCAAACTTTGACCAGCAACACAGAATCAAAGACAAAAGAGTGTTATGGATTCGTGTTTTACATGCAAACAACCTGCATTATTTTTCTTACATAATATATATTTTTCAAATACATTTTTGATTCAGCTCATTCTGGAAAACATCCCAAACTTTAAAATGCAAAATTAATGCTTATTGTGAAGAAAGTCAGCTTTTGTTTCTTCTCTTGATGAAATAAAATGCAGATGAATCCTTGTTAAAAAAATTGATATTCACCAGGATTCAGCAATTTTAAAAAGACTCGTCTATATATTCTCACACCTGTCAGCTGCACACTGGTAATCAAATAAGTAACACTTTTCCAGGCTTCTGTGGTGGTACTGCCCTTTGATGTCAGCATGTGGGAGGCATCAAAGGTCTAGGACACCAAAGACCAACAAACAGGACCACACTGTGGAAGATGACCAGGGTATGAGGATATGGGAGAAGATGTAAAACTAAATTAGGGATCAACATGTCTTCCATGGACCTAAGAATTAAGCTCCTATAGCTATCCTAATATATAACAAATTAGACTTCAAACTAAAAATTAATCAAAAGAGATGAAGAAGGTCATTTCACATTCCTCTCAGGATGAATCCATGAAGCCGAAGTCTCAATTCTGAACAGGTATGCACCAAATACAAAGGCACACACATTTACAATGGAAACATTACTAAAACTCAAATCACAAATAACCCCCGCCCCACACACACATAGAGAGGGAGACCTCACACCCCACTGAACAAAATTAGCAGACAGACAAATAAAGGAACTAACAAAAGTTATGACTCAATTTGACTTAACAGACATCTACAGAACATTCCATCCAAACAAAAAAGAATATACCTTCTTCTCAGCACCCCATGGGACAGTCTCTAAGTGTGACCACATACTCAGCAACAAAGCAAACCTCAACAGACACAAAGAAATTGGAATAACCCCCTGTACCGTATCCAATCACCATGTTTTAAAGTTAGAATTCAACAATACAAATTGCAGATATCCTCCAAAGTCATGGAAATAGAACAATGCTCAATTACATCACACCTGGATCAAGGAAGAAACAAAGAAATTAAAGACTTGCTAGAATTCAATATTCAATGAAAATGAAGACAGAGCATACCCAGACTTATGGGACACTTCAAGAGCAGTGCTAAGAGGAATGTTGATAGCGCTACGTGCCTATATAAAGAAACTAGAGAATGGTCACACTAGAGACTCAACAGCAAACCTCTAAGTACTAGAACAAAAAGAAGCAAACTCACCTGGGAGGAGATGCCAGGAAATAATCAAATTGAGCTCTGAAATCAATAAAGTAGAAACAAAGAAAACAATATAAAGAATCAATGAAACAAAGAGTTGGTTCTTCGAGAAAATGAACAAGACAGACAAACCTTTATCCGAACTAACTGAAAGGACAATGCTCAACTTCAAATGGAAAAACAGAAAACCCAGGGCAGCTGAAGTAATTCTGAAGAATAAAAGGAGTGCCAGAGTTCACAGCGTTCCAGTGTGTTGTACTACAGATGTACAGTAATAGAAACCACAATGTTTTTGACATAAAAAGTCACTTCAAAATGGAAGACCCAGACATGAAACCACGTTTATGGATAACTGGAGTTCGATAAGGAAGTTAGAAATTCACACTGGAAAACGACAGCATCTTCAACAAGCGGTCCTGGTCAAACTAGATGTCTGCATGTAGAAACAGATGTACACGAATCATCCCGCACAGAACTCGAGTCCACGTGTGTAAGACAACACGAGCCTGCCCGGTGTGAAACGCTAGCTGCTGAGTGCTGTATGCTTACACACACAAGCCACGGCCAAGGCCGTGTCTGGATCCTCTCACCTGCCTAACGTGGGACAACCAGGTCTGTACCTATCCACATGAGAGAGCTGCCCACGGCAGAAATACACAGACATGACAAACGGCTGCAGCCCAAAGTGCATCGAAACGACCCACACTGCTGCAATGAGACCGCACTGTCCGAGGAAGACTCAGGCGATCAGCAGACCCTACGCGAACACTCGGGACTAAGTCACAACAGCGCAGTGGATTCTGACACCCGAGGCCGGGAGCCCGGGCAGTGTGGCCGCCCCGGCGTCCGCAGCAAATGCGCCCCCGACGCGGACTCTGCGCCCGGCACCGAGTCCACGCATGCGCTCCTGAGCTGAGCGCTCGGCGCCCAGGGCACAGCGTCCGGGAGACGCTGGGGACGGCAGCGCGCTGCGTGGTGACGTCACGTGCGGCCCGACCACGCACGGCCCCCACGCCCCGTCCCGCGCGGTTCCGCCGCGGACGGAGACGATCAGAGGCCTCGGGACCGCCGGCGGCGGGACGGCGGAGCTCACGTGACCGCAGGCCCGGGAGGCCCCGCAGCGGCTCCGCGGCCCCTCCCCGCGTGCGCACGGCGGCCCTCGCTCACCATGGCGGCTCCGCGTTCGCCCCGCGCTCCTCACAGTTCCCGGCGGCGGCTCACAGCGCGGCCCACGGAACGCGAGCGGCTGCCCGGGTCCAGGGCGGGCGAACTGCGGCATGGCGGACCGGAAGTGCCCGCCCCGCTCTGACTGACGGTGCGATGGCGGGCGCTGATTGGCCGGTGTGGCCTGAGTGACGGGCGCAGCTCCCTCAGGGACCGAGAGTGAAGGGTGCGGAGCCCGGGTTCCCGGCCCCGACTTCGCCCAGGGCAGAGCTTCCCGGCCCGCAGGGCGGGCGTGGATCTCACAGAGCGCGGGGCTGACCGCAAAGTCGTCCTGCGCTTTCCCGCTGAGTGAGCTCCTCGCACGCTTCCCCTGCGCTCAGGGCCGGGGTCTCAGGCCGGGCAGACGCTGGCCCAGGCTCTGCACTCTCCCAAATGTCCCTGTCTGTCCATCTGTGCCTCTCCCTTTCCATGAGCCGTCCTGTCCTTTCCTGTTTAAGTTCTTTTCTTTTTAAATCTGGTGCCTAAGCCAGGATCCAGCCATGCCTTTGCTTTTTTATTTGTTTCTTATTCCATTCGCAGTGTCTCTAGCATACACAGATAATTCATTACTTAGTGTCTAGGGAGTGATTCCCTGAGATGACGCCCAGTCCATCCAGGTCAACTTTAAACACCCTGATTGACATTCACCAGACACCAGAAATGTCGGTAAGGCTCACCTAGGATTGTTCACACTTCTCTCGACTGCCGGAACACTCCCCCAGCCTTCTGTGGTGGCACTGGTGTATCAAGCCAGCATTAGTGGAGGCAGGACAGCATTAGTGGAGGCAGGACATCAGAAGTTTAAACCAGCTCCATCTGTGACACCAAACACCAGACATTTTAGTACTGAAGAGGAGGTGAGGAGGGGCGTTATAAATAGGTCTTGTATAAGCTGATGGGTCATGCTAAGAAAGTTCATTGAGAAGGACGGCTCTGATAAACACTCTCTGTAGAAGAGAATGGGACAGTGAGAGAGAAGGCTCTCTCAGACTGACTCAGCTGATGCTAGGAAGCCAACTAGCAGCAACCTCTCAGACTGAGAGCCTGGTTCCTGTGACTCCTTCATTGTCATTGAAGGTCTTTTAGACACAGTTGCACATGTAACAATTATGAGGGAACGTGAGTGCCAGATTTCAGCACCAAAATGTAATCGATTGTGCCTATTACAGCTCTAGAGCTGCAAAGGTGGCCTGACTTATCAGGAAGCCAGACTTTCTTTTTTTTTTATACAAATGATTATATTTATATATGCCATTTAGTAGGAGAAGCAGAGATTTTCAACTTTAAGAGCACAAAAACTATTAAATATTATTATTAATTGATCAACAAAATACAAATTGTGTATACAGATTTTGCACACATTCTTAGTAGTTAAACCCTCCTCACCTTTGCATACTGATCCTCCACCCCCATCTTCAATTAAATCCCATAAATTGCTCATCTTCCTGTTATATTTACACAATGGAGTACTATTCAGCAGAAAAAAACAATGGAATCCTGAGATTTGCAGGCAAATGGATGACACTAGAAGAAACCATTCTGAGTGTGGTAACACAGTCACGAAAAGAGAAACATGGCATGTATTCTCTCATATATGGATTTTAGACATAGATCTGGGGAGTGCCAGCCTACAATCCCATGGCCAGAGAGTCTGGGAAACAGAACCTTCATTCAGTGGCTGATGGAAGAAGAGGCAGACTCCCATGGCTAAGCACTGAGCTAAACTCAAGAAATCCAGTGACAGAGAGGGAGGACTGATGACCAAAGGAATTAAGACTGGGCTGGTTTAACCCCCAGAAACAGCTGACCTGACAAAGGTTAGCTCTTGAATCCAAGGCTGATGCCTGGGAATCCAGCATGGGACTGATCAAGACCCCCTGAATGTGGGTATCAGTGAGGAGGCCTAGGTAATCTATTGAGTCTTGGGCAGTAGATCAGTATTTATCCCAGGTATACACATGGACTTTGGACTCCCATAGAACAATGTGAGATGTACTCTCACCCTGAACTCTTGGGGGGAGGGTCTAGGCCCTGCCCTGGATGAAATGACAGACTATGGACACCCCCATGGAGGGCCTCACCCTCCCTGGGGGAATGAGGGGATAACGGGGGCTTGGGGGGGAGGGCACGGGAGGAGGGGAGGGAAAGGGAGAGGGACCTGGAACTGACTTGTGAAGCAACCTTGTTTCTAATCTAAATTTAAACTTAAAAATAAATAATAATAAAAGAAGACAAAAAAAAAAAGGAAGCCAGACTTTCTAGAGCCACAATAGAACAATTCTAGTGGGATAGCACTGAAATAGGACAGCTCAGCCCTGGAGAGAAAGGTGTCTTGACTTGTCGGGAAGCCAAGCAACCTAGAGCCACAATAGGAAAGTTCTGGGAGGGATAGAGCAACAATAGGACAGCTCAGCACTCCGGTCCCCAGGGAGGGTAAGACCTTCCATGGTGGATATCCAGGGTCTGTCATGTCATCCAGGGTAGGGTCTAGGCCTTCCTTCAAGAGTCTAGATTGAGAGAGCATCCTTCATTGTGTGGGATGGGCACTCAAAGTCTATTTGTACTCCAGGGATAAATACTATCCAAGGCCCCATAGGTTACCTAGGTCTCCTCACTGTGGCTCTGAGGTGTCTTTTCCAGCCTGGATTCTACCAACTATCATTGTGCCCTGACTGCTCTGTCTGGCTCCCATCACCCACACAGAACCAGTGTAACCCCCATCCTCTGCAGTGACGCTGTCACTTGGCCACTCTTTCTCCTCAGAGCTGGCCAGGGCAGTCTGCATTCTTTCAGGGCCTCTGTCAGCATGAAGACTTCTCTGTATATATCTGTAATCTACAGGGGGTTGAGGTTCCATGAGCAGCCACCCAGAGTCAGGTAGGGATCAGGGACCTCTTCATTGGGCAGCTTGGTATTGTCATAGATTCAGGATAGACGCTGAGCCGACTCAGAACTTGTATTTGTTTACTCCGGGGGTTCAAGACATTACTCACATTTTTGGATGTTTGGGAAGGAAAAAAAATCCAGGGAAAGATTTATCTTGTGACCCTTAAAGGGATTCCAAATCATATTTGATGTGTATCCATAATGTTATATAGGCACACGACCCTGTCTGCTCACAACAAACAGAAACCAGACACTGTGTGGTCTACAGGTCAGCAAATTGTCTTTTTGGCCCTTCATTTAAAAAAAAAACCATCCAGCTTTCCTTCCTCTTAGGGTCTCTGTTGGCCCATCTGGGAAACACTAGTTCTGGAACAACCTGGCCATTCCAAGCAACACAAAAACCCATCTTGGATTTCAATCTTTTCTCAGACACCCAAGGTTGACCTGTATCCTCCGCATGTGCAATTGGTGGTCAGTGAGTTGGCTCAGGGGGTAACGGCACATGCTGGCAAGCTTCTTTCTCTACTTGAGTTCAATCCCAGGGACCGACATTGTTGAAGGAGAACACAAATGCAGGCAAGTTGTCCTCTGACCTCCACACACGAATGCCCCAAACCCCAACCAAGAAATGCATATAATTTAAAAATCTTTAAAAAGCTTCAGGTGGGAAATTTGGGTTTGAGTCTTGGCTTATGATCCATTTAGTGGCTGTGTGACTGGATTTACCTGTTTATTCCATGTTACTTCAAATGGGCATAGTTAGAGAAAGCAGTAAACACTTGTTACCATGGCTAAAATGACTAGTTAGAGCATCAACACCTAGAGCTGCTCTAGCTGAGACTACTACTTTTTTGTGCCTCAGTTTCCCATGTGAGAAATAGGCTGGTTTTACCAGGTCCTGCCAGATGGGAGGTTCTTCAGTTCTTGACAATGAAAGGAGGAACCCACATTTTTGTCCTTATCATTTTCCTGGGTCTCTGGGACTGGCAGGTCCTCTCAGCCTCTGTACAAAACCCCCAGACTACTGCTTGGTTATGGCTAGCTGGGCCTTGGCCATTCAACTCTCTCTTCATTAAAAATACCTCATGCTGCACCTCTTGTCCAAGCCCACCTGAGGCGGTAGGAACATTTAGATCCCAAAGAGGCCAAGGTTGTGCAGCTCTTCCCACCAAGCCATGCTGTGCTTTTGGCATACTACCTCAAGGAAGCTTCTGGAGTCTCACCTGAACATAGGAACATTCTGGTTCTGCCATGCAGCTATGGCTGATAGCTGTGTGTCCCTGGGCAAGTAGTTTAGCCTCTCTCCATCCTAGCCCCGTTACTTGGTGGTTCAAGCCTGTGATCCACATATGCAGGTGACTGAGTCACAAGGATCAATAGTTTGAGAGCTGTAGAGTGAGTTCAAGAGCAGCCCAGACAACTGAGAGAGACTCTGCCTCAACACACACACACATCCTTGTAGTGAAGTTTTTGTTTGTTTGCCTTTTGTTGGCATGTTTACATTCTTGTTTTATTTGGTTGAAACAGTTTCAGTGTACAACTGTATCACCAAGTTGGCTGTATCGGTGTTTTCAGCTCATACGAGGCTCAGTAGGATGAGAGTTATCACATCTTGCATCAGACCTATGTATAAACAATGTTTGGTAGTGAAACCTCTTATCCCACTAATTTTGAGTTAGGGACAGGAGGATAATGAGCTGAGCAACATCAGCCCCTGCTATAAAACAAAACCCCCCAAAAATGAGGAGAAATAAACCAGACCAGGGTTTGAGGATGGCTCAGCAGGTAAAGGTGATTGCAGCCAAGCCTAAGAGCCTTGGTTTGGTCCTCAGCACACACAGTGAAAGGAGAGGAGTCGGTTCCATGGGCTGCTGTCTGTTTCTCTCCTTACCATGTATGTGCACAAACATACAAAATAAAAATAAATTAAATCTGAATAGAAATATTAAGGGCTGGTGAGGTGTCAAAGAGGTTAGAGCACAGGCTGCTCTTGCAGAAGACCAAGGGTTGACTCCCAGCTCCCACATGGCACACCGGTCACTGCTCTAGAGGACTGTGAAACCTGGGAGGATGGAGCCAATAAATGAGGTAAACAACAGCCTCATTCAATAGCCAGCTGGAATCAGAGTCGCAGACAACATATTCCCTGAAGGTTAAGAAAGGTCACATGAGTAAAGTTCTCATGAGTTCAAACTGCACAAATCACACAGATGCATCAGACACACACAAAAACATGTTTTCCATAGAAACATGTAAAGGATAGTTTAAACATTTAATTGAATAATATCAGCATGCAATAATGAGTAATCTGATGTAAACTCACTTCTGTATGTCACACTTAAGAGGAGTAAAAACCAATTCCAAGGACAATCCTATGTTTTGAAGAAACTGAGGTCACAACAACCTAGTCCTGTTTTATTGGAGTGTTCTCACAAGCACGTAGAATTCTCACAGGGCTCCATTACTGGACTCTGCTCCACCAGCTCCCTCCCCTGTCAATTGTTTAAACACAGGATATCCACAGTGGCTTCCATTTGAGACGTTGTAGATAAAGCTAAGTGTCATTTGATGCATAAACACAAAGCATTGTGTGTAATACTTTGTAGCCCAAATCTGTCAAACTAAGTATATGTTTAAGTATGTGGTCAATTTTGGAGAATATTCTATGAGGTACTGAGAAGAAAGTACACGCTTTATGTTTTGGTAAAAATTTCTGTAGATATATTAGGTCCATTTGAGTCATAATATCTGTTTGTTCTATGATTTTTCTGTTTAGTTTCTGTTTGGACCACCTGTCCACTCATGAGAGAGGGTTGGTGAAGTCTTCCAGTATTAATGTGTGGGGTTCAACGTGTGATTTACTCTTTAGTAAAGTTTCTTTTACAAATGTGGGTGCCCTTGCATTTGGAGCATAGGTACTGAAAAGTGAGATGCCACCTTGGTGAAGTTTTCTTTTGAAGAGTATGAAGTGCTCTTCCCAATCTATTTTGATTAATTTTGGATGAAAGTCTATAGTATTAGATATCAGAATAGCTACACCAGTTTGCTTCTTGGGTGCATTTGTTTGAAAAATCTTTTTCCAACCCCTTTCTAAGGTAATGTCTATCTTTCATTGTATGCAGCAAAATGATGGATCCTGTTTTCACATCCATTCAGTTACCCTGGGGAATTTAGTCCATTGATACTGAGAAACATTAATGACCACTGATTGTTAATTACTATCATTTTGATGTTGTTGTTAGTGGTGGTGTGTTTCCCTTTATTTGGTGTTGATGGTATGTAATCATTTATGTCCTGTGTTTTCTCTCGTGTAGTTAGCTTCCTTGTGCTGAAGTTTCCTTTTTATTCTAGTATATTCTGTTGGGCTAGATTTGTGGATGTGTATTATTTAAATTTATTTTCTCGTGGAATATCTTGTATTCTTCATCTATGGTGATTGAAAGTTTTGCAGGATATAGCAGTCTGGGCTGGCATCTGTGGCCTCTTAGGGTCTGTAAAACATCTGTCCAAGCCTTTCTGACTTTTAGAATCTCTACTGAGAAGTCAAATGCAATTCTAGTAGGTCTGCCTTTATATATGACTTGGCCTTTTTCCCTCAAAGCCTTTAATATTCTTTCCATGTTCCATACATTTGGTGTTTTGATCATTATGTGGCATAGGACTTTCTTTTCTGGTGCAATCTATTGGGTGTACTGTAAGGTTTTCACACATTTATAGGCATCACTTCCTTTAGGTTAGGGAGATTTTCTTCTATGATTCTTTTTTTTTTCTCTTTTTTCTCTATTAAAAATTTTTCTCTATTTAAAATTTAAATTAGAATCTAGCTTATTTTACATGTCAATCCCAATTCTCTCTCCCTCTCCTCCTCCCCTGCCCCCCACTAGCCCCCTATCCCATCCCCTTCCTGCTCCCCAGGGAGGGTACAGCCTTCCATGGGGCCTTCTATGATTCTGTTGCAACTATTTTCTGTGCCTTTGAGCTGAGATTCTTCTATGTCTATTCCTATTAGTTTATTTTTTTATTTTTTTAATTTAAATTAGAAACAAGTCTGCCTCATATGTCAATTCCAGCTCCCTCTCCCTCCCCTCCTCCCCAACCCCTCATAGTCCCCCATCCCATCCTGCCTTCTTGGATGTCTTGTGTTAAGAATGTTTTAGATTTAACATTTTCTTTGGCTGATGTATCAATATCTTATATCGTATCTTCTATGTCTGAGATTCTTGTGGCTACTCTATTCTGCTGGTGATGCTTGTGTCTGTGGTTACAGTTCAGCCACCTAGATTTTCATCTGATGGATTCCTTCTGTGTCTTCTTTAATTCTTCTATTTCCATTTTCAGGCCTTGAACAGTTTTATTCATTTCCTTCACATTTGTTTGTATTTTCCTGGATTTCTCTAAAGGATTTATTAATTTCTACTTCAAGGGACTCTATCATTTTCATAAGATTGGATTTAAGGTCATTTTCTTGTGCTTCATCTATGTTGGAATATCCAGGGCTTGCTGTAGTAGGATAGCTGGACTTTGGTGGTGCCATATTACTCTGACTGTTTTTCATTTTAAACTTAAACTGCCTCTAGTCATCTGGGTTTGTAGTTACTATACTAGGTTTTGACTTCTGATTTTGTTAGATGGGTATTTTTTTTTTGGATGATTTTCCCTTGGATTGTTTCCTCTCTGGTCTCCTGGCTTGAGTGGCTTGGAATTCTGGTAACCAGCAAGTCTTCAGTCCAGTAGGGTGTCTCCATTGAGGTTTTGCATCCTGCATGATCTCTGCTGTTTTGGGTGCCAATATCCCCTCTGTGGTTGCAAGTACCTATATGGCCTCTGGGGTTCCTAGTAATGCATAACCACTGGTAAAGCAGAAGTCTTCTGCCAAAACTGTAGGCTAGGATATCAAGCTCAAGTGCACTTGGGGGCCATTGGGTAGTCTTTCAGGAGTGTTAGTGGGCATGGGAGGTATCTTATCTGAGGCCCTAGTACTGGCATGATCTCCAGTAAAGCAGAAGTCTTCTGCCAGGGTTGTGGCCCAGAACATGGAGCCCAAAAAGGTCAGACAGTTGGGGGCTATCTGGACTAGGAATTCTTCCTAATACATTAAGTGAGCCATCAATAGAAAAAGTTTCTGCCTGTAGAATAGGAAAAGGTTAGACAATTTTTGTAATCACAAATTCAGGTCACATGAGAAAACCCCTACCTTGCCATAGCAATCTACAAATGATCTGATAGTCCAGATAGTTCTTTAACATACTTAAACGCTGATTGTTAGCTAAGGGTAGTATAATACAACAACAATCAAATTCATATACTTGTTGATAACAGCTCCCACCCTGATTTACTAATTTAGCAAGAACAATAAGGAAAGCTGATAGTATTTTTTCTCTTGTGTTGTAAATAATCCATTCAAAAGGTTTATAATCATAACAATAGGTGACAATTTAATGTAGTAACTAATAAGTTTGAAGGCAACAAAGGATCCATAGGATACACAAATAGCTGTGGTTATTTTTTGCCTCTCAAGATAATGTGTAAGGACAGTTCAAAGCCATTTCTTCCTCAAGAGTTGTAAATGGATTTGTTAGTACTTAATTAGGTGTTATACATTTGGTTTCACTGACGTGGCTCTGGAAATACCAATCACACCTCCTGAGACCAGTATGGAATTTGTAAGTGAAGTCAAGTTTATCATAGGCTCTCCTATGTCTTCATCAAATGGAGATAATTCAAGGTTAGATTGATCAGTAAATTACTTACCCAGTGCTTCAGGCTAATTTTCAGAAAATGGGGGATATGTATATAAAGAAGGCTCCAATGAGAGAGCTGAGTGAGCTGTCCTCAGCGTACATACAAGTGATGCTATTTTAACTTTTGATTTTGCCTGAGCAAGGAAAGTCACCTTTTTGCCTCTTTTATCAATTTTAAAGTTGGATCATAAAGTTCATACTCATTCAAGGAATTCGTTATCACTATTTTCATGATTAATATCCTCATCTTCCTTAGTTTGATAACAGTCCATGTTAATAACCAATAGACCCAAATTTGAACAAGTATCTTTTCCTTGTTTATATGCCCTTTCAATATCATTTTGGGCTCTGTCCCATACTTCATCTAGTATTCCTTATTCTGGAAACCAGGCATTATAATCAAATAGCAAGGGATATAATATTTGTGATTTTAATACTTTTTCTCCTCCCTGCTTTAAAAAATACAGTAGCTCAACATAGGGCAAAGCCTTGCTTCTGCGCCACCGTTCTTACTCACCGCCTTCCCCGAGGTTTGCCAATTTCTGAACTTGCAGCTTACTTCCTGTTTCTGTTCAAGTGCCACTTTTCATCACTCTAAAGATAGTGGGACCTGGCAGAATGGAGCCAATAAATGAGGAGGATTAAAGTCTCACAAAATAGCCAAAGTTATTCAGTGTCCCAGACAATTTATACTCTGTGGGTTAAGAAAGGTCACATGAGTGAAGTTCTCATTAGATCAAGCTATATACAATGATTAAAAAATTCACATAGGACAAAAACATGTTTTGCATACATACATAAAAGGATAGTTCAAAAATTTAATTGAATAACTGCAGCAAGCAATACGGAGTAAAGCTGATGTCAACTCACACTTATCTACTATACCCGGGAGAAGCACAAAACCACATTCCAAGAACAGTTCCATGGTTTGAAGAATCAGAGGTCACAATACTATTGTCTTGTTTTATTGGAGTATTAACAAAAACATTCAGATTTCTCCTCAAATGACTCCTTTCGAAGACCATGTTCTGACTAGATATCTATATTAATTTTGATTTTAGAAAAAACATAATATATTCATGAAGAAAGCTATTTTAAAAACATGGACTCTTTCTCTCTCTCTCTCTCTCTCTCTCTCTCACACACACACACACACACACACACATCTATCTTTGCACCATTTGCATACCTGGTGCCCACAGAAGACAGAAGAGTGTATCAGACATCCAGGACAAGACTTTGCAAGTAGTTCTGAGTCGTCTGATGTGGGTGCTAGGAACCAATCTTGGGTACCCAACAGCAGCAGTACAACTGAGTCAAATCCCCAACTGCCAAGCTGTCCTCTATCACTTGGAGGTGATGAATTTCCCATTTCTATTTTCTGTTCATGGACTCTGCACATTGCTTCTTATTGCAATTGTTAACACAGTTCTCCTGATGAGAATGAAGAAACAAAAGACGTAGTTGAGTCGAGAGGAGTACAGGTTATGTTAGAGAAAGTTCCATAATGTGACACATTCTTTTTTTAGTAATATGTTTTTGTTTTACATGCATAAGTGTTTTCTTTGCATGCATGTCAGTGTGTTGGATACCCTGGAACAGGACTTACAGACAGCTGTGCACTTCCATCTGGGTCTGAGAATTCTGTGTCCTCTGGAAAAACAGCCAATGTGCATAGTTGCTAATGCCACCTGTCCACGTCCCTTTTTTCCAATTTTTTGAGACAGGGTGTCTTAGCATTTCAGCAATGAAACATCATGACCAAAAAGCAAGGAATTTGGTTTACACATACATATTTCTGTTCATCACTGAAGGAAGTCAGGACAGAAACCTAAATGGGGCAGGAACCAGGAGGCAGGAGCTGATGGAGAAGCCATGGAGGGATGTTAGTTACTGGCTTGCTCAGCCTGTTTTCTTATAGAACCTAGGATCCTTCCCCATCAATCACTAAATAAATGACTTACTGCTGGATCTTATGGAGACATTTCCTCAATTGAGTTTCCCTTCTTTCAGATAACCAGTTTGTGTGCAAAGTTGACATAAGATTAGTCAGAGCAATTGACTACTTGTCAACTTGGTACACAAACTATTAGGTCACAACCTTTCCTTTCTTATTCATTTATAAGAACTCATATTAAAATATAAATAACTTTACTAAAAGTCCCACAATCATTACAAATTTAAACTCATTAAAAAGTCTATGGCTGTTGTAAAAATCAAAATTAAATAACTTCTCCCTTCAAGAGAGAAGCTTTATCACAATCTGAAAAAAGCAAAAACTCTCCCCAACAGTATACCCAATGACTGGGCTCTACTAATAATCTTCAGGGCTACTCCAAAGGGCTTGGATCTCTTCTCTGGCTGTGCCTTCTGTAGTAGACAGAAGTTCTCTCCTAGGTTCTGAATGTTCCAGTTAACCATTGCTGATGGTCTTGCTGGGCATTCCACTGTACTGACATCTCCAAAATTATTAAGTTTGTGCCTGGTGTGCAGAGCTTTACCTCATTTATTACATTCATTGGGTTTTTCTCTAGTATGTAGTCTTTCATGATTTTGACTGTTACATGAAAAGGCTTTACCACAATGATTATTACATTTATAGGGTTTCTCTCCAGTATGACTTCTTTCATGACTATGAAGATGATATGTATGTGCAAATGCTTTACCACATTGATTACATTTATAAGGTTTCTCTCCTGTATGACTTATTTCATGCCTTTGAAGATTACTGTGAGATGAAAAGGCTATACCGCATTGATTGCATTCATAGGGTTTCTTTCCAGTACGATTTCTTTCATGCATTTGAAGATAACTGCCAGATGAAAAGGATTTACCACATTGGTTACATACATAAGGTTTCTCTCCTGTATGACTTCTTTCATGCCTTTCAAGATCACCATTACTTGCAAAGGCTTTACCACACTGATTACATTAATAGGGCTTCTCTCCAGTGTGACTTCTTTGATGTTGTTTAAAATTACTGGAATCTGAAAAGGCTTTACCACACTGATTACATTCATAGGGTTTCTCTCCAGTATGGTGTATTTCATGTATATGAAGATAACTGGGACATGCAAAGATTTTTCCACATTGTCTACACTCATAGGGTTTCTCTCCGTATGAATTCTCTCATTTGAATATAACTGGGATATGCAAAGGCTTTTCCACATTGATGACATTTATATACTGTTTCTTCCTAGTCTGAGTTCTGGGTACTTGAAGGTATCGGTGACATGCAAAGTCTTTATCTCCTTGATTATATTTATAAGGTTTTATTTTCAAAAGAGTTCTTTGGTATAGTTGCCAAAAGGAATCAGATCTAAATGTTTTATCATATTGTTTGCATTCATAGTGTTCTTCTTCATTATGGAATCTTCTGTATGTTTGAAGATACCTGTGATGGTTAAAGCCTGTAGGACATGGCTCACATTTACAACATCCTTTTCCCTTACGAGTTTTTTTCACCTCTTTGAAGAGAACTGGAAGAACTCACTGTTTTACCACATTGATCGCATTCATAACATTTTCCTGTAGTGTGAGTCACATTACATATGCAATATGAACCAGGACAGACAGAAGAATTTCCACATTCTTTAAACACATAAGGCTCTTGTCCAGTGTAAGTATGTTGATGTATTCCCACTGAAGTTGGAAATCCAAGTAATTGTACACTTGTATCACCATCACCATGTTTTCCAATAGTGGAAACTACTACATAATTTCTTCTGTAACCCTTATGCTCACATGACTTGTATCCAGAGTAACAGATGATATACCTATTAAAGGAAGAACAACAAACAAAAGGTTTTCCCATTGCATTCACACAGTTTAACTTTTTGTCCTTCATAAAGATGTGGTATAGGGATTAAGATTTTACCACCACAACAACCTTCTTAGCTTTCATAAACCACCCTTCTCACTAAATTATGGTAAGCCTCTTCAAGTATATGAGTAACATTAGCTAAATTAAGGGACAATTTGCTTATAGAAGGACTTGGACACACCCTAATCCCCTAGTCAATGTGAATGTCTTTACAATACTGAATGGAATGAAACTAAATGGATGGATATTTCTACTCCACAACATGGATCTCAGGGTTAGGATTAATTACAGTGACATCTGTTAAGGCATTGTTTCTTTGTCTTGTTTCTTAGAGGGATGACTTGCAAACACAGATCAGTTATCTGAAATTGAGGTACTTAATGTTGTAAGAATTCAATAATCATCACAAAGCTGTAATAATTTGAACTGTTGCTTTTCATTAAATATCAGGGCACATTAAAATTTGTTCAGAGGCACAAATGTATCACCTTGCACAAGAAAATTACTCCCATGTCTTTAGAATTTTGACAATAATCTTCAATATTCTGGTCTTCCCATTTGTAGCCTAAAATATAGTACCAGAAATGTATGATCTATTACTGGAAATTATGCAAAATTTGAGTTATTATTTTCAGTGAACCTCAGAACCATGTCTGATTTATTCACCACATTCCTCCTATTTCACCAACGAAATCACAATGGAACACTAATCTCTAAGAAAGGCTTGTCATCTTAAGTTGAAAACTGAAAGTTCACATTCCTACCTATAGAAGTGAGGTTCCAATAGGTCTCCAGCATCACATCTTTGTAGAGACTCTTCTGGGAAGGATCCAGCAAAGCCCACTCTTCATGAGTGAAGTTCACATGCACATCCTCATAGGTCACTGCGTCCTAAAATATACCATCGACACATGTAATAGAATGGTACACTTCATTGGGAAAATATTTACATAATTCTGCAACTCAACCAATTTATTTCATATCACAGAATTTCAAATGCAATCACTAAGTCATTTTAGAAGAAAACAGAAAAGGAGAACTATGAGTCTCATTTCTGGGCCCTCTCAATAGTATATGCCATTGCAAGAGAAGTGCTGACTTACATATACAGAAAAGCATGCAAACAGAGAAAGTATTGAGTATACATCAGCAAAGTAGTACCAAAATTACTGCCATCAAAAGATAGACACTATGGGCATGGTGCTGCCCACCTTTAATACCCAAACTCAGGAGGCAAAGACAGGTGATCTCTGATTTTCAGCAGCCTGGTATATGTAGAAATTTAAAGAACAGCCAAAGGTACATACTGAGACCCCACCTCAAAGAAAAAAAATGAGAGCATTCAGGGGCTCACTCTGAATTCCATCAGTGAGTTTTACAAGCCCTCCAGAAATGCACTTGTCTTCCAGAAAACTAGAGTACCTCATATGATACTCACATGTAGAAATGCATGTTAATGTTACTGACTGGCAGGTTAAATGGCTCTCAAAAAATATTAGTTAAGTAAAGTTGATGCTAAAAAATAAAAGAAAACAAACAAACCCAGTTCAGTCATCGAGATGGGTCAACAGTTAAAATCACCTGTGACTTTTGCAGAGGACCTGCATCAATCCCCAGCTCTCACCTTGGAGGTCGCAACTATTTGTTCTGACTTTAGTGAACACCAGGTACACACATACACATGCACTCATGCGCGCACATACGCACGCACACACTGACACATGTGTATATATATATATATATATATATATATATATGCAAAATATTCATGCACACATTTCAGAAATGAAAACAAGTTAAAGCATGCATAAAGACATGGAGAATGTTATACACCTGCAATACAATCATTCAGGAGAGCATTATTAATGTCATGATGCATGCCGTCCTGGTGGGAAATAAATGATAATTTCTGCCAGAGTTTAGAAGTGACAAAGTGGGTCAAGCTCATCACAAGAGCAAATGCTTCACATACACAAAGCATAATTCTATCAACAAGAAATATAAAAACTAAAAATCAGGAAAGAATAATGGTTCAGCCAGGAAAAGCAATTGCTTTTATTTACCTTAGGTTATTTTGGGGTGTAGCCTGTTACAGTGGTAATGGTGTGGATGCATGAGAAGGGAAGGGGCTGCTAACTTTCAATCACAGAAGGAAGGCTAGTGTGGCCAGGGTATAAACACTCAATGTGAATCCCCAGAGACTACCTGCAGGTGGCCCTGTCAAAGGAGCAGTAGGTGGCACCGCCCTGGCCTGGCGGCTGAATCTTGGGTAAGCAAGGCCCCAAGACCACAGGCCTGGAACGCCCTTTGCTTCTGCTGCGCCTTCACGTGCTTGCTGCTGCTGCCCTTCTCTGGGATCCGAAGTGGTTGCCTGAATTGGGCGTGAAGCCCCCACTCCCTGCAATGCAGTGTGTTTGTCTCACGGAAACATCCCATTCTACTGGGTATTTTTACTGTGGATCAATGATTCCTCCCTAAGCTGTACTGTCTAACTGATAATAATGCTAGCTTATACAGAGTTTCTATGAATAAAATAAATAAAAAGAAAAGTTACACAGCTAGGGCCTATGAGTCTCACCTCAAGAGCTGCACAGATTATAGCTTAAGCTAATGGCTAAGAGAAACCGTTGAGTCCCAGGAGCCAGGCTGGCTCAAAGTCCTTTAACGTTAATGCTGAAAGACACAGTCACAGGTTTTAGTGTGCATCATTAGCTGATTTTTTTTTATCTGTACTCTGTAGGAAGTTAGCAGAATTACTGTATGGGATAGATGTTAGAATGAACAGTTGTTTTTAGAAGTATCTTGACCTTAAAGAATCCTTGTGGAAAACTTTGGTCACAAGACAACTCATGTACACCTGAGGCTCTTGGATTACTGTGTATTACACACAATGCATAATAAGGGACTAGAGTCAAGGGGCATGTGGTACTCCCCTT